CGGTGGTAATTTTTGTTATTTCCACCCCTTGCTTTGAAAGCAGAATGACAGAAATTACAGGAAAAATGATTTTTAACTAAATGAACCAGATCCAACATTCTGAAATTGTTTTTTAATTCTTGGATTTTAACAGAGTGAACCAGAAGAGCCTGTCAAAAAAAAAATGTGTCTCTCTTTCAAAGTTTAATACAAATAAAGATAAGTAATTAGATTTTACATTACAAAGCAAGCTTTCAGAAGCCTACAGTTCTGCAAGTTCAAATATAAAACGTATAGCCGAGTCTGAGAATCAGAGAGTAAACTCAGAGCTAAACAAAAGGTGAAACAAAATAAATCACAACACTGTAGTTTCAGAGTCTCACCTGAATAAAGAAGCCTATCCATTCTCCCCAGCTATCATGCAGAGTTCTTAGCTTTTAAATTTCTACCTGTATCATATCTAACACAACAGACTAACAATAGTGATCTTACCCAAGCTCTTTAAAAACTCTGGGAATTTCCTCTTCAAATTTTGAGTCAGGCAGCTCGTAAGAAGGGCAAAGAAATCCATAGATAAAAGTGAAGATTTTTAAAAAGTCCTTAACCGATGGAGACTGTAGTGATTTCATGGAAACATTATGGGCGTAACCATTCTCCACAAGAAACTGACAAAAAGAAACATGGCATATTAGTCACTAAATAAAATCTAAAGTTGAAACCATGAAAAATAAGTATATTTTTGGGTGTCTTTTATGCCTAATAATGAACATTTAGAATAAGTTAATAAATTACCTCACAAAGCTGCTTGATACATTGTTGGATGAATGCCTTGTCGTGAAGCGGCCTGGGATCCTTGATCTTTTCTGTACCGAACACACCATACTGACTGTTACGTGACCCTCCAGCCCCACTAGTTCTAAGGACAAAAAATAAATACAGTTCTTGTGACAGTACATATAAAGAAGAACTCTCCTAATGTTTAAATCACTACCATTGCTATCTTTTGTTTTCTTTTGCATTTGTTATTTAGGAAGATTGGAAGAACAACATCAACCTGGAAGCCATGATACAGACATACAAATGAGGGATTACTATATCATAGATGAATGTTTTCTTCAGTTTACTGAAAGAAATAAAGTTTTACAGAACATAAAAATAACCCAAAGATCAAAAGAAAAAATGATGTAGGTGACTGAAAATAAAGACTAAAATATTTAAGGAATATTCAAAAGGAGTATATCCCTGCAATAGTGGGGTCCCATGAAGGAAGATACCTGCAAGACACTAGAACACGGAAAGCCATGAACTAAGCTGAAAGAGTATAGAATTTTGGAAGGTTTACACCTTAGAAGAAACTAAGGCAGTGTGTACTGGAGATAACTTTCTTCCTTAAAAATAGCAAATGTATTGAGGAGCTCTTAAGGTCTCCAGTGCATATCATTCCCAAGAGGAAGAACAGCTCTCAAAGCAATTCCTCAAAGCATTGGTGTAGCGATCAAAGAATGGAGGAAGGCAGACCTGAAAGTCTGCTGGCCTCAGACCCATTATTCCCTACAATGAAAATCTGTTAAAGAGAGAAAAATTAGAAAACGATGTAGGACTGTTATTGTTCTAATTTACAGCACAGAGATCTAAAGCTATCAATACCTCTTCCCAAAAAAGCTGACTTTTCTTTCTGAAGTTCCAGGTGTAGGTTTGCTCATGCTCAGCTTCCCAAACGTACCTCTGTCCTTCCTGAAGGATAGGGAGGAGGATTCAAGTGACTATTTTTACCATTTCATTTTTTTGCTCATGTAAGAAAACTATAAACACATGCATATAAGCCTAAGCATCTTCAGCATAGCAGCATCTTAGAAAAGTCAACGGATTTTAATGCATTATTTGTCCATTATCAAAACTACTTCTGCAAGAAGATTTATAAGTATGTATTTTATACACACACATGCAACCAGCCACCTCCTAAGAAATATGTAAGAAAAAATGTTACAATTTGAAGAGTCATGGGTATACAAATAGATTAAAGAAAGTTTCTTGCAGAACTGGAGCACTTGTGCAAATATCCTTGGCTGCAGGGAAGTTTTCTTCTCACTGCTCCCTTTTTTTTTTTTTAAGTTGCTACTCACACACAGTACAGTAAATCTCTTCAGAGTTTGTTTTCTATACCTATTCTTAGCACAATGATCAGCAACACTTACATCTGAGGTGTTTGAAGACCCATCTTGTTGCTGTCCTGCACTCTCAGTGCCATCATAGATTGCCGACCACTGCTTCCGGTAGTACTTGAGCTTCGTCTCATTGTGACTAAACTGTAAATCACAACCTGTCAGTATTGGAAAATCCAGAAACTAAGAGTATTTGCTTTTTTTAAACACCACAATGACTTTCTAAAGGGTCAAAATAAGCAAGAACTGTACTTTGGACCAACTGCTATGACAGACAGTTTCCAGAAATAGTGGGTTCTCTTAAAAAAAAACCAACCAGCCAAACAAAAAGGTGCACATCAGAATTCAGAACTACATAACAGCAGCCACAGCCTTTGAAATTACCTATTTTATTGATGAAAGTGCCAGTACTTGTTTCAAACCTACTATTTTGCCTTTATTTATATCTGGTCATTTCTAACCTACAGGCTCCAAAACCAAAATGGCTTAAGAAGTTTTTCAGTCCAATCAGCTGGGAGGAAGGCCATGTTAACATGACTACTGTTTCTAGCACTTCAGCCATCCACCTATTCCTTATCCGCTAATTCTCTCTCTCTCCATCCTCTCCTTGGAGAGAGAGGTGGGGGGGAGCATCTGTCCTTGGTTTCAGTGACCAGTCTGGCCCAAACCACAACACTGAGACTACTTATTGGTTTTGCAAATGATCTCACAGTATCATAGCACAGTAACTGGAAAGCCTCTTCTGAGATAATATTATGGCTATGTTCAGACTACACACACAAAATATAAATCAAAATGGAAGTATTGAACTGTCCCCACAGCGGTGTTACGTGGAATCTTGAGGTAAATAGAATTAACTCTGCAAAAAATGCCAACTCTTGCCCTTTACAGCAGATCTATTTTAGTTGTGAGGTGGGCTCAAATAACTGAATTATAACTAATCGAAAAACCTTCATTACAAACATTACCAAACCGCATCAGTATAAATTGAGTTTGAGGCTCACAATTCTACTTCTACTTTTCACAAACCACGACAGAAGTTTAGCTTAGACCCGCTTCACAGAGCAGTTTACCCGCGACCTCATTTTCTCTGGGGAAGAAACGGCATTCTTCCGTTACTTTACCAGGGACGGGACCCACCACAGGCAGAGCAAATTGCTTTCACGAACGCACCAAGTGACGAGCAGAGCTCGCTGGAGTCAACGCGCCAGCGGAAACAAGGCTTTCCCCTCGGTGCGCGGCCAACGCCTCCCCCGGCGACCGGCCAGACAGGACCTGTTGTCCGCCCCACAGCCGCCGGCCCCGGGACTGGGGTTGGGGTTGCCGCCGCCGCCTCCCTGCCTCCCTCTGTGGCGGGGGGGGGCCCAGCCACGGAGG